CAAAGATGAAAACGCACTCATGCGTCTGACACTTACACCCTCTTTCCCACCGTGCATGGATATTTTAAGTTCATTTAACGTTTAAGTTACGACAAACTACAATTATTATTGTTAGTAGTGTTGGAAAGACATGATAAACATTTCTACACATTAATATTAGTTCACACATAATATAAAAGTTGGCATAACAGGACTAGTTAGTTAGTGCACAAAAATAATCATAGTTACTTTCACAGAATATGTATATATATGAATTTATAAATCACTGCTTGAGGGCTCCACTTGCTTTCTTCTGTCCTGCTTTCGTTTGTCTTCTTTTCTGTCTCTCACCATTTTAACTTCTACACTAATTTTTGAAAGAGAACAAAGAAAGTACATTTTCGACCATTTACAATGATAAATAATCTGCAAACATTACTGGTCCCATATCCAACAACTGCCTCGTGAATTACCCATTACCTTCCCACACGACACATCCTGGATTACAGTTGTGGAATATACCTTTATACCAATGAAAAGGATTAATTTACAGTGCTTTACGATTTTAATTTATGACAAAACTGATCGTGCCTGTAAAAATGGCTTCCATTTCTTGTGAACACCCGTTTATAAGAAAATATATACTATTATTAGTCCGCATTCAGTACAATTCACTTCTGGTGTTATTTACGATGAAAATGTTGACAAGATTATATAAGTGTATCACTTATTTTAAATTATTACTCAATTTGGATGTAAATCAAGAATAAGGTTTGATGACTAACACAGCAAAGTTACGTAGGATAATTGACTTCAAGCCTCGTTTTTGTAATCCATCCATCACATGCTTGTGTTTTTTGTTATTGCGAAGACTGTTACTGTGTTTCTTAATGTGCTACATTGAACGACTAGTTAACAGATTGTTCCTACAGAACTAAAGTCAAAAAGGACAGCAACTATGTAAATTCACCTTAAACTAGATTTGTGTAATAATAATAAGTAATATTTATCCACGCCTGTATAGTCGGTGTGTTCCTACATAGGAATAAATATACATCATTGTATTGTTTATAACTGTACATGTATGAAGCAACTTTAATAAAGATCTCATTGGCTTGAACCCCCATGTCTATGACCGAACGGCTTATAGAAATTAATCGTAATCTTGGTGGAATATAATTATGCATCGTTGCTGTCTAAACCAAACGGCAATACAATTTTGAGTGCGGCATTCATTAACCCAGGCCATCGATCAGCTATATTTGCCAAGCCCCCATATTTGTGCCATCAGCGCGGTTAGAACAGACCATAACTCGATGCTAACGGCCAGGAACTACACTACTTCTAATGACGTAGTGTCCAACATTTACTACAGCTTTTCTGCCATACCTAGCACTCTTCTCATTGAATTTCACTTGCCAAGTCTAATATCAACTCTTTTCTAAGGAACAGAATGGGTAAATTCGTCCACTGACAAACCGAAGGTTAAAATACGCGAAACAAAAGATAGTAATCTAGTGGGCAGTAGGAAAGGAGGAGACTGTCCTTTGTACCACCTTAAAGACTCATGGCATAACAACTGGCGGATAGTGGCCGAAAAATATATATTATACCCTATGAGGCAAGTTGCTATGCACTTATGAAGCCAAATAGAGCATCCCATTGCCCTGAAAGCTGATGAATCTCTCTGCGGTCTCGTAAAGAATCACCTGGTTATCAGTTTTTTATTTTGCGCAGCGCACTCAGTCACCTTGGAAGTCCTAATTAGTGGTACTAGGAAATTAACGGCTCTAGCCCCCCACCTTCGGATATATAACTTCGAATGAGCCGAGGAATCAGTGGCTCTGAGAGAATGTTTCTAACTTAATAGTGATTCTTCAAAGTTGTGTAAATCCGGACAACACGGTCTAGTAATCTGTGAGATTTTACAATAAGCGCTAATAATATCTGAGGCACTATTGAAGGCTTACTCGAGATAAAAGTGAAGTATAGTAACAAGAATTACTCGATGACGATTACTTCGGGCATCGTGAGTGTAGTCAGGCAAGAAGAAGAACAACATGTGCTTTCCGCTTAGTTGTGTTTTGCCAGAGTAAGATTGCGTGTGCTCAACAAGATCATTCCCAGTGGACTTTTCCGCAATTTAAGATAATTTTGTTATCAAACGCCGCATCAAAATAAACTAATATTGATCGACAGGGCCTATAAAGTGGAACAAACATTATTTATTGACGAGCCAGTATTTATTAAGAATCCTGGCGAATAAATGAAACAACAAAGCGCAGTAAAACACACTAAAGAGCATTCGTCATTTAGTACAATTCAACAGACAGAAGATTTACAAACAGAAATCGTAGTAACTACTCGGTTACTCGCATCGTACTTCGGAATTTAGCCATTAACAGCCTACTGACTGACCAAAAGACTTATAGCATACCGTGGGAGGCATAGAGATCATACATGACTACAACCCTGATTCTCGTGTATACCTAGCGCGGATGGCTCATTTAGAGGTGGGGTACTGGAAATACCTTCGGGAAATTGTGAGGCTTGAGTGACTGCGGGATGTTCTCAGTACATTTGCATGACTGGAACTTGGACAGTGAGCTGAATTTTGCAACATGTGTCGATTTAGTCATACGTTTACTATATAATACGGATTGTTTGGGTTCGTTAGTACTACTAGATTTGAACTGCATAGCACAAGCGGATCTTAGTTTCTCAAAGCTGATAGCGTAGGACGCGCTGCAAGCTTAAACACATGTTTTTATCAGGTGGCTAGTTCGTAAACGGTTAGACAGTTGAAAAGAAACGTATTTTGTTCAGAAACCTCAACTGCTTTGAAATTTAAGACGCGTTTTTCGAAACCGAATTTTCCATCGAAAGGATAACACAAATTACCTATCGACTACCTGTAATATTGCAAAAGGCCGATAATTTTTGTGAACCTACATTTCCGAAAGCATGGCAAAGGGCAAGTGTAACAGGCAAAGCAGAAGGCATACAGATAATGAAAACAGAACACAAGCTATTTAGTGGACGTTTATTCCACAAGAATCAGTTTTAAAAAGTGCGGAAGTCCAGTCTAAGAATTTAACAGTCTTTCTTGTCTTTGCTGTGATTTAGATCATGCAGTTCTTGACCCAGATAATCGAATGCCTAGTGTCTTCCTGCAAGTAAAGAAAAAAATTGACTGGTCTTTATTCCATAGGTTTTGTTTTCATTGCACAGGTGAAGCGCGGCGTACCTATTCAAACACACGGAAAGGCATTCACTATCCAAAAGATGAATAAAACTTTAGAAATCATCAGGAAGATATAGTTCCTACTTGGTTACTCGTCTCATCGTTCTGAGTTCCTCAATTACTTATAACATCTGAGTGGCTATATGATGCCGCATTATATGGACATACACGCTTTTACTTTGGTATTCCTTTGAAAGTAGTTATGCGTATCCACATATAGAGAAGCCTTAAAAATGAAATTGCTTTTATTTTTACGTCGATTCATTTGATACACTTATGTAGGAAAATCCGATTGGCCTCATTTTTTTGGCAGCCTGAAGTCCATTTATTTCACTTTATCAAACGCATGGTGAAATAATCAACTTAACTATTCACTTCAAATTCTACGTACAACTGCAATGGCATCTGAAGTATCCAAGGCTGAACTTCTTATGGGTCATGGTGTGCAATATAGAATGAACAAGCGTGTATCCGGGGTACAAAAAAATAAACCTCAAAAATGTCAGTGCATTCTTCTCGACAACTTCCTCATCAGGTTCTAAAGTCATGTACCAATAGTAGCTGATGAATAATTATTGCTGACGGCATTAACCTTTTTACCGGTTATCATCTCACTTGACACATCACCTTTAGATTGTAATCTCATGTGGAGAAAAACATTAATCATAATACAAATAAACACACTCTAAATAATTTAGTAAAGAAGTATGACCGCGTCGACAATGATGACATCGTATTCATAGAGCTGAGAAAAGATTACCACGCAACAGATTTGATCCAGTGTGTAAAATAAAAGAATTGAGAAATCACTGGTAACTTAGTTGTTTCTGATTGAATCACTTGCAAAACACCTATTAGATGTTTACTAACTGTCATTTGTCACAAGATAATCAACTTCGCTGCATGTAACTGCCTAAGTATTCAAATGGATATCTTGTCATAGTCATCACAAATAGGGTGGAAAGATGCAACACTAGCACTCAATACAGACCTTAAGAAACTAAGAGTAATTTGTATTCATACTCAGTAGAAGATGAGTTCTACTTAAATCACATTTCATGAGAAATCATTACGTGTACAGAGAGGAAAAGAGAGGAAATAGTGGGTGAGTGGCAGTACTTAAAAATGATGACAAAAACTGTTCGGTCGAAAACTAAGTGGGAAACATGGTTCAGCATTGAAAAAGAGTTGGCTATAAGATGAGCAGTACTAGTAACTTCATTCTCGCAGCCATTCGAATAACAGACACTAAGTCTCAAGGCAAGGACGAGGGGGAGTCATGAATTACGACTTGAAATAGTGACATGTCATTGTGTCGCCACACATCACACGTTGAATAGTGTGCAAGACAACTGCTCAGTCAGTAAAAACCATGCTCATCACCGTATCAATTTATGAAAATGTTGTTACGTGAATAATTTGTGGTTCGACCGTTTATTACACACATATATTAATCGACCGTTTATTATCCGACGGATGCTCAGAAGAACTAGTACCTTTCTTAACAACATTACAGGCGATACTATGAGATATGACTCCTGATGTCACTTATTCCATGAATTTCTTATTAATAAGCTCTAGTGACTTAGAGGAGTAGGAATTTATAAATCTTAAAATTTCTCCCGGAAGTCGAATTCTCTGGGAGAACAAATCTGCAATTTCAGTCTTAAGAGGTCTGAGAAAGCTTATAGAGACACTAGAACAACTATAAACCATACATAAAAGCGCTTTTTGATCAACTGGAATAACTTGTTTAAATTTTGTTTATATGCACAAATGTAATTAACTTTCACTCATGACTTCGCGTCAAAAGTCTACTGAGATGTCATCGGATGTAAGCTCTAAAGTCCTTTTACTTGGTTTTTTCCACTTGAAATCAGTTTACTGATAGCTAAAAGACTGATAAAGCTAATGGAACTATTATGGTTAGCATCACACTGCAAAAATTTTGAGATGGTTCTTCAGTAATACTAGTTTATACATTTATGTATAGTTAAATATTCAGAGGTGTCAAGTTTATGCCACTTTTTTTCAGATAGCATAGGTTTTGGGTTCGTAAGGACAATTACAATAAAGCAGAAATTCTGTATTATTATATCTGTTCTGACCTCAAAGAAACATGAAAGTTGAAAATTATAGAATGACACACGAAACTACAGTCTAGATTATTTCGTCCGTCATTCAAATTGATTTGCATGGGGGCAAATACATGAAACACATTCTGTCGCAAATCAATGAGTACTGGTGTTTTTGTGCATTTTTTAGAAGTTCTAATCTACCCATTGATAACTTGTTGATTTTACTCATTCTGTCAATAGGCAGCCACTTGGTGTTGCTACTTTTATTTATTAGCTACCTCTCGGTTATCTTAACACCAATTCCACCACATTGAAGGCCTACTTTTAAGTGGACTGAACCTGTAAATTATCTGGCAAATCCTGTTTGGAAAAACAGTTTAGCTGTTAGGTCTTCAAGCTGCTTGGTCATATCTAATGATACTGATGATCCACTAAAAGAATGTAATTTGTTTACATTGTGGACGTCTACTTGCTGGTCTCACCTAGAAATAACGTTAATTACTGACATGGGGCCACCAACATATCCTGATAGACATATCTTGGGCAAATAACTGGATGGATCCTTAGTGTAATCCATCCTAACATGGTTATCAGACTGCTGCTAAGTACTTGGGGGAGATATTACACCTGCGCATCTTAGTGGAATTATATTGTGGAGTGGGATATTGAGAAATTACACGAGTACAACTTCTTGGTACATAGTAGATACCACTGTCTCATGACTTTGAACCATGTCTGTTCGTGATAAGCTTCTGTTTTTTATTTTCTTGAAAATTAGGACTGAGTAAGATGATAAAGAAAGATGCAGTGCTACAAAATTCATCTGTTGCATGAATTTTCTGATCCTTTACAATACTTACACAATAATAAATTTTACGATTCTACTTTTATGTAATGAAAAGGATTCAAAATGTCACGCTGATTTTATTCTACTGTACTAGCTCAAGTTATATAAAAGACTTCACAGCGTACTAGAAATCAGTCTTAGTCTTAAAAATCTCCACGTCTATTTTCTTCTGCGGTTTGATGTGGTCCTTATGTGTTCTGTATTAATTAGAGTGCGTTAGTCGCTTAAAACCAAAATTTTGTGGGGTGTATTTGCGGGTAGTCGATTTTAAAAGCTTGTTAGTTTTTATTCGCTTATTATAAGGTTGAAAAACGGTACGTTGTCGTTTGTGGTAAACCTCCAACACTAAATCTAATTTAGAGAATATTTACCATGAGGTCGGGTGAAAAGTTCTAGATACTACGAAGTAGCAGTTAGGTCGTTACTGATGCAGTTCTTTACCTAAGTTTTCAGTAGTTAAGTCTTCGTTTTCAAAGACAAGTAGAAAGAGAGCAAATTAAAGCAACTAAACCACTGTCTGTATGTATGCATATGTTGAAGAAGTTGGCTGTATGGTCGCTGTCAATAAATGGCGAACACGGATGTCACCTCTAAGCTATTTCAAAAATTCTTATCATGATAACGTCAAAGTGTTTGGAAGAATCTTTCGTACCTCCTAAATGTGTTCTGTGCTCCTAAATTTTAATTGAATATATCCACTTGTAATTCTAAAGTATCCTATTCAAATTATGTTTAGGCAGTTTACTTTCACTTATTTCTGTGTTTCAGACTGTGAGCCTCTTCAAAGAGCTTACCCTTAAAGATGCTGAAAAAGCACTGGCGGCTGATCTGGAACTCCTTGTGGGTAGTATACCGGATACTCATCCGTTAGAGAAAGAAAATTTCCGCTCACAAATGGAATCTTTCAAAGAGCTATTTAAAAGATACTTGCATGACACGTCGGGTACATTTGATTGGAAGGAGATTCAACCTGTGCCAACACAAAGTGTAAGTAAAGTTTCACCACCACATTTTATTTTTTAATGGTAACTCCTCAGATATGAATCTGAAATTAAAAGTCATAGCTTTGAATATTCGTCAGCCATTTCAGCTTCACGCTTTTAGATTGCGTCTTTCTGTCTCATAAGTGCATTTGTCACACAGAACATTAGAAACTATACACGCGACTATTTTTGACTGTCTAATCCTAGAATTTGCGGTTCTAGAGAATAGAAAGTCTAAATGAAAGTTTCATATTACGGTTCACTTAAGTCTTTGTTTTCAGAGTGAAGAACAGCTTAGTGAGATGTGTTCATCACTTCATATTTATAAAACGTAACCAGTGCTGACAGATAGGTTAAAAAGATTTTTACATCACAGAAAGATAACCATCTCTAGCTTTACACTTTCAACTATCTCATTAACCAGCCTTTAAATAAGTCTTTCAAGTCATAACGCTGTGCTGTGACTTCTTGACATTTCGAAAGGCTAAGAATCATCATTTAGGATACTTTTAGGACAAGAGACAGAATGTGTACTGACCACACGAGGATTTTTGATTTAAGCAATAGTGTAGACTCAAGAATTTAGCACCAGAAAATGTGAATACTTAAAGTAATGCAAGTAACGGTGACATAATAAACAATTTAATTGTTTGTAAGTTTGAATAAATTTCCACACCGAAAACTGTAGTTTCAGAATTCTCAGTAAATGAATTCCCATTTATACATAGATTCAGTGTTTAAACTGATACTTTTCACATAAGTATATTCAGTGATCTATAATGTTTCTTGACTAATTAATGTGATAGAATTGTATCTCATAGGCGGAACTTCCTATGAAGCGATTTTTATCAGTTGAATATTTCTCGTGTAGAGTATTCTAAAAATGTTACCTAATTCACTTTATTCCATAATGTAATGTCACAGTGTTTTCACTTTAAACTATAGATGAAAATGTACAATGCTCTTCCTATGCCAAGTGATAAAGAAGTAATCCGTCAACAGCTGAATAAATTAGTTGTGGTGAAACTGAACGGTGGTCTAGGCACTACAATGGGTTGTACTGGACCAAAATCGCTGATATCTGTTCGAAATGATCTTACATTTTTGGATTTAACTGTGCAACAAATTGAAGTAAGATAAAGAAGAAATTTACATTGGCAAATATTTCAAGATATATACACATATATACGTATACATAGTAAAATTAAGATACAACGATAATATCGCAGCTATTTTGTAGGATTGGCTGCAGCGACATATTGTTTTTCTTGCCTGGAAATAATTAATAGTTATGTAATGATAAAGATGACGGCTAATAAGATCATTTAAAGTTAAACACCAGCAACCGGTTTGATTTCACAGACAATTATTTAGAGAGTTGTAGTCTGCAAATAGATTTCTGTTCTATGAATATCCAGATTACATTTCACTGAGTAGTATATTAGAGATCATGGATTTTCATCTATTTTATTAATATTAAAAAGTCTGAGTAAATGTTTTTCGTCTGTTAACAAACTAGGTATAAGTGTTTCAGTGCTATTTTTTTACTCTTTTATTCCAGTGCGTTCCAAAGGGGAACATAAGGCTTCAAGCTAGAGCTTTGAATTTTCGGTAGCAGTGGTGTTTATTTTTACGGGGTGGGATTGCTAATCTCACGCCCATCCTTCCCCCTTTGCCTGGCTTACTACCAGATAAGCGAGCTATGGGAGTGTGTCGGCCGGGGATCGAACCGCAGACCACTTGAGGGGCGAGCTTCCTTTCTCTGCGCCACCGATGCCCTTCAATGCTATAAAGTTACATTTTAAATGACTATGAATAATAATTCGTATTCGAAGTGTCATTCAATAGATAACACTGCTTTACAGTATAACCATATCTAATGAATGAATAAATAGGGAGTTATATAACACTTTATACAGACATTAACTCTTTGTTCTTTCAAAAGAATGGATACTGAACAAAGAATACTCTTTTCGATAACCTGCCCTTCACTAGGCTTTACAGTTATGTATCCATCCATAAAAGTGGATGAATGAATTAGTGTTATGAACAACATTAATGTTGTTTAAATAACATCGAATCAATAATAATAATATCAATAGATTACAGTTCAATAGCATCAACATAACAATAAACTGAATATCAGAAAAATTAGGAAAGATAACAATAATACAAATTCATGAATTTATAGTCTCCATTGAAGGCTGGCCAGGGCAGTAGTAGTGGCTGGCTGGACTTGCTTCTTTTGCACACAAAGCACTGGTTGTTTCACGAGAATTGCAATAGCCTCTGCTGTTTGGGGCATGCGGTACTTCGATGTTCTTGGCAATTTATTTGGCACCCGGTAGATGATAGAGAAGGATTCTTCAATGGTGGCTGGCTTTGTGGCCGGCCGGTTTGGACCAGATAGTATAATATAGAACTGTTAGTGGTTTTTACTACACCTTTACTTAGCCATTGTTGGATATGTTCTCTCGAGAGCACGAAAAATCAAGTTCGTAGAGCAACGGCCGATATAACTCGCTGCACCACAAGCGCAGTTGAATTGGTCGATACAATTGGAAGTGGCTAGCTAGTCTAGGTACTTCATCTTTCAGTCAAGGAAACGCCATCGGTCGTGTAGAGAATAACGCGTGTAGTTCGCCAGCATTAAAATATTTATACATCATATCGAAGTTATGTATTTTATGGGTATTTCTTTCTCAGGGCATTTTATTTTACTTGATATTCAGTCATTTATCTGGTTAATTGATATTCTATAGAAGGATTCCTTAAAATATTTTCTCATATTTAAATGGTTCAGTAAAGTGAATAGAGCAGTGAATCGTGTAGAATTATTTGCGAAGTGGCTGATTGAGTTTCGACATCGAACTTCGTATAGAAAAGTAGCAGTTCAGGTTGCCACTACTCTATGTAGCACAAGAAACTAAACACAAGTGAGAAAGAGAGAGAGAGGGAAAAAGAGATTTAAGAGGATAATAATAATAATAAACAGAAATTTGAGGGAGGGGGGATAGAGTAGTAACGTGAAAAAATAACAAGTTTTTAATAGGTATAGCAGCTCATAAAGGATGAATGCATCTGTAGCGCTCAGATCGATTTTGAGCCATATCGCCAACAGTCTCCAGCCATCCTGCAGACGCCAACCATTCAATCTGCACCACTCTATATGGTTTACTGTAACCATCTGTCGAGGAGTTAATGGACTGATGCTAGATTTTAATTTAGCCACCCTTAGCTATTTTCTAACCTAATCCTACATCAGAGAATGACGTGGCAAGTATTTGAAGGTTTCTTCTCAAAGTGTTTAGAATACTCTGGATTTCATCAGATTCTTCACCTAGGAGAAAAATATCATCCACATACTGCAAGTCTCCAAGAGTGTCCTCTGTTAACAAGCCAGTTCCTAAGTTTCCAAAGTCAGTTAGGTTTAATTTCACTAGTACATTTATGATAAAAAATAAATAAAAATGGGGACAGTAGGCATCTCTGATGGACACCGCTGGTTGTCATCACTTCAGATGATAATTCCCCATATGCTCATACACAGATGCATGAGTTTCAGCAGAGTGTGTTGATCAATGCAGTGTGCTTTTTCGATACTCTCTTCACTGATAGGCACTGCCACAACACCACCTTCAGGTGTAGAAATATATCAAGTGTTGGATGCTAGTATGTCGTCTATGTTCCAGAGCCTGTCAAGGGTGAAGATTTGATACATGCCCCCTCCCCCCCACCTAGTTATGGCTTGAAATCTGTCTAGTCCCCCCGGGTTTGATTTTCCCGAGCACCACTTGGTTTACGCATGAATATTGGACCCAGAACTTCAGATACTTTGTTAGTCAGGCTTATTCACCTATGATTATCACAGGAAGATTTGTCTCCCTTCTTTTTTAAAAACTGAGATAATAAATGATGTACACCAGTATAACAGAACTACCTCTGATTATCGGACACTGCCTAATACCTCAGTTAACCCAGACAACAGTTGATCAACAGTGTCCTTAAGCACCTCTGAAGTCATTACATTGGGTTGTTCTGCTCTGACTAATTTCACATGAGAAACAAACTTTATCTCAGTTACAACTAGGGGATCGATGTCGACATCCCATTTTAGTATGTGTAGGATGCTTGGAGGGGGGGAATGAGCATGAATGTAAGCAGGTTAAATTGTTTCACAAAAATTATCGCCTAGCTTTCCTGCCTTCTATGGTGAGAGTTAACTGAATAATTTTCCAGATGATTTTAAAGGCTTAAATAACTGGTCAACATTGAAAAATACTTCTCAACAATATTTTTTAAAATCAGTCTTGAATATATCTGTCTGATGTTAGTTTGTTTATTAGATAGTGATGAAACAGTTTCATTTACTGGAGTACACAGTTTCGAATACAACTCATTATTGTTCATAATCATCCATCAATTATAATCACACGATCTCAAAACTTCATTTTCATAGTTTTCTTTGTTCTCTCCTATTTGTCGTCATAGGGGTAGTGGAATTTTCCAGATGTCCGACTGGACAGGTGTTGAATCATTCCTATTACACGTGTTTGCAGTTGATTCGATATACAAAGCTTCCATTGTCATCTATCTCTCCCTCCACCCTGCTGTTGCATTAGATTTTGAAACTGTCATCTTATCCCATCCAGCCTATTGTGTGGTTGTGTTGCGTGTAATTGCACGAGTGAGTGTTATAGCTGAACTATCTTTTAGATATTTTATCTTATTCTGGTCAACTAATCTAGATCTTGCTAGGCTTTCATGCTCGGCTAGACTGACTCACTGCCTCTGTTCTACTACTCTGACCTATGTATTTGACCTGACAATCATTGCAGGCAGGGTATTAGATGAACTAAATTGTTTTGTTTTAAAGGCTCTACAGGATTCATCCTTTAAGCGACAAAGCTTGTTTCTAATTGAGTTTGTAGATAGTTTGAATGTCACTTTTATTCCTGTATTTTGTTAAGAATTCTCCGTAAGGTTTCCGAGGCTCTTTGTGTGGAAGCGCTACTGATGATTTAGATTCCTTATTGTTGGCGCTGTCATTATCTTGCGCATATTTAACATGCGCATGTCGTCATTACTGTTATTATTGTCACTATCACTACTATCATTATTTATTTTATCTTTACATTTCCCTACATACTTCCTCATTAATTTAATTGTTAAGTTTCAAAGCTTCTCTTTTATGCATTACTTCCTGTCTTAAATTCTCCTTGGTACTACTTAGTTTTTGTGCCCTATTTCTTAGATATTTCACCAATTCTATTTTTAACTGACATAGGATGGTATGATCGGAAATCCAAATATCTGTTTGAATGTGTGGGTTTCCTGTAAGCACTAGTGTTTAACTTCCCGCCTTCTTTCCCTTTTACCCTACAATCCTGACTTTCCAATTCATAAGTGAATTAAATTGCCTCCACCTTTGAGTTAATGTTTTCGAAAAATCTATCTATATCCTGTGTTTTAAGTAAAGTGAATGTGTCATCTACATACCTCCACCATACTTTTGGAGTGAGGCGGAACGTTTCAATCACTAACTTTTCCCATCTATCCATGAATATATCTGTTTATCGAATCAAGTGAGAGACAGAATACGTGTAATATGAATGATTCAACACCTGTCCCAGACGGATATCTGGAAAATTCTACTACCCCAACGACGACAAATAGGAGAGAACAAGGAGGACTATAAAACTCAAGTTTCGAAGTTGTGTGATTATGATTGATTGGATGATTATGAACAATAATGAATTTTGTTCGAAACTGTGTCATCCAGTAAATAATACTGTTTCATCACTGTGTGGTACATCGAATAAACAAACTAATATGAAATTACTTACTACTATAGTGCTGAAGTTTTACACACATGTTATTTATCTGTTTGAAATTTTATTCCTTATGTGTGGTGAACTCGAAGTAATTCGGTACGATGAAATCCATACTGTAATCTATTCATAAAATATTGGAGTTATAATTTCATCTTTTATTTATTTTAGAGATTAAATAATGAATACGGTACAAGTATCCCTTTGGTTTTAATGAATTCTTTCAATACTCATGCTGAAACTGAAAAAGTTTTACGCAAATATCAACAAGTCAATGTTCGAATATCAACATTTTTACAAAGCTCGTAAGTGCTAATATCTCATTAACGTAACAATACTAGAGCAATTGTGTTTTAATTCATTCGTAATCTTTTTGGTGTGAAAAGCTTGTCCCAGTTTCATGAGTTACATTTAGATTATTTATAATTTGATTGGTGGATGGTGACTAGCAGTGGAATCTAGGATGCGCATTTCGTCAGATGGATGTACCTGCATTTCCCACTGAGTGATGATGTTCCCACCGAGGCTCGAACCCAGTACCCATAGTTTCAAACGCCAAAGCGTTATCCACTAGACCACTTGGGCCACGAGAGCCACCTCTTGTTCAACGGGTCATATTAATTATTTAATTGAATTTTAGATTTTCCCGTCGATTGATTGGACCGAAGTGCTTGGTCTCAGGTTGACATGTCGGCTTCTTGTGCAGATGCATCGACGATGTCTCAGCATGTAATTAGAAGTTAATTGGTGGATGGTGACTAGCAGTGGAATCCAGGATGCACATTTCGTGCTATTTGGGACTCGTCAGCTCGATGTAACTGCATTCCCCAGTGAGCGATGATGTCCCTACCGAGGCTCGACATGTCAACCTGAGATCGAGCACTTCGGTCCAATCAATCGACGGAAAAATCTGAAATTCAACTAGATTATTCATAAGGTTTGAAAAGAAAACAACTGATGACTGCCAAATGGAGTCACTTTGGACTTATTAATAAATCACATTCTATCAGACTTTTTCCCTGTAGAACTTGAAAATGTGACATAGAAAGATATCACCACTGAGTTGTTGATACGGTTATGCTGACGATACATTTATCATAATTAATAAGTATGTGAATACAAATGAATTATTGATGAGATTTAAGAACATCCACCGTTCGTTTACTTTCTGTAGTGAAGAGCAACAGAAAGAATACTCTGCATTTTTTTGGTTGTCCTAATAAGCAGGCTAGAAGATAGGAGAAGCATGTGTAGGGAAAATGGATTCACAAGGAAATACACGCAATAATCCCCAGTTATATCTCCAATAAATCAAATGTTTTGTGAACACAATTAGAAAGATTTACTTTGAAGATCATTTACAAAGAGAATTTGAATATATATGTTCATGGTTCCTTGATGTAGATGGAATATCCTGATAGTTTCATGTAGAAATATGAATAAATTACACAGAAAACCCAAGGTAATGATGATAGTCTGTAAGAAACCGTTACTTAGGAAATTTCAACTTGATGGGGATCTATTAGGTGAGATTTTTTCTTATAGGAGTGTCCGCTAGACACCACATTAGCTGCTCGGTTAGATCTTCTTCGCTCAATCCTAAATCATTCTGAATTACATGGATATACTGTAGATTGATGAATATATATCACGACAGGTGCACGGTGATGGTGAGCTACCTAGAATGGTGGCCACATTGCAAACCTGACTGATAGAATTCAGTCTGCACCAAAGTAAGGACTAGACACGTCACACTAGTTACTAGTGTCCAGTCAAAATACCCACTACAGTCCTACAGGAGGTCAATCGTGAGCATGAATAGCTAAGTGGTAACGTCTCTAAATGCAACACTGGGTGACGCGGGTTAGAATCTCAGAGGGGACATAAGTTCTTACGAGGTTGCAGATACGCCTTGCTGACAAGTGCCAACTAGTACGAAACCTAGGTCGAGCAAGGCTTCCTGTGGCCGATTGCCTCCAACTATCTAATATCATCAAAAATAACTTCCACAAAGAAATAAGTCATATGAAGGCTGGATATTTCCATAATTCTCTTTTTTATTTCGTTTATTTTTTCTTTTGCCTTGTAGTTATCCCCGGTTAAATCGAGAGTCTTTACTTCCTCTGGCTAAATGCGCTCATAAACCAGAGGGTGGAAGTTGTGAAACAAGACGACAAACAGACATGAATTATCATCCTGAAGAATGGTATCCACCTGGACACGGTGATTTCTATCGTAGTTTTGTTGCATGTGGTTTAGCTGAAAAAATGATAAATGATGGTAAAGAATGGGTTTTTCTCTCCAATATTGATAATCTTGGAGCAACTGTTGATTTGAGTATCCTTTTATTTTGTTAACAAATCAATAATAATAAAGCTTAAATGATTTTTATGTCGAGGATTAAATGTTATTTAAGCTTAGTTGGATTACCATTATCTATGTAGTTATCAGCAACATACAAGCTTGCATACTTTTGGATTAGTTGTCCGATTAGAGTTGTGCGTCGGTGGCACAGAGGTAGAATGCTTGCCTACCACGCAGGTGGTTCGATCCCCGACCACCTACTCACTCCTTTACCTCGCTAAGCCAGCAGTGAGACTGGTAAAGAGGGAAGATTGGGTATGGGGCTAACAACCCCATCCCGTAAAAATAAATACCACTGCTACGAAAACTTCAAGCTAGAGGCTTGAAGCCCCATGTTCCACTGGGAACGTAAAAGATTTTTTTAAAATCGTTATCCTTTTAGACACCATCTTCAGCGCAGGCTGTAATATGGAATGAACTCATTTGAATTTTCCATTATTCATCCATCTGACCTACAAATCTTCTTCATTATTTCAACCTTGAATAACTTTACAGGCTTTTTGAATTGAAGAAAAGTTGTTATCTGAAGTCATAATCCTATTCTGTTGTGTTAAACATGCAAATGAGACGACTCATTTAATTTAGCGTCAGAAGAGCATCAAAGGAGTAAGTAAGTAAGTGAGTAAGTTTCAGCGTGTATTTTGTCACCTACTATTCACCTCTATAATCTTCAAGGCGCCAAATTTTAGCAGATTTCTTTTATATAGTGTGCATACTTTTGAAACTGTTTTCCTTAATAGTGACTTTTTTTTTCAAGATATTTTAAATTTCTTGATGAATAAAGAACTACACCGTGGTGGAGATTCTCCTGAGTTTGTAATGGAAGTTACTGATAAAACGCGAGCTGATGTTAAAGGTGGTACTTTAACTAAATATCGTGGACATTTGCGCCTTCTTGAATTGGCTCAGGTATTTCACACTTGTGTCTTATTTTATATTAGATGATATTCATCAATTTTTAAAACAAATGGAATAATTTCATGTATTTAATTTAATTTTAGGTACCAGAGGATCATGTTGATGATTTCGCTAGTGTTCGTACTTTTAAAATATTTAATACTAACAATCTATGGATTGATTTAAGAGCTCTTCATCGATGTGTGAAAGAGAAGACACTTCATATGGAAATCATAGTAAATCCAAAGACTTTGGATTCAGGGACAAATATATTACAGTTGGAAGAGGCAGCTGGGGCAGCAATCAAGTCATTCAATGGTGCCTTTGGTAAGAATGAGCATATCACAATTGTTGTAATTAATGTCGGTTTTTGGGTTTCGGTGGTTCAATGATAGAATGCCCCCCAACCACGCACGTGGTCTAGAGTTCAGTCCTTAGCCGACACACTCCTAAACCTCGCTAAGCCAGCAGTAAAGCAGGTACACAGGGAAGGTTGGGCGTGAGGCTAGCATTCTCACCCCGCAAAAATGAAAACCCACGACTACCACCGCAACTTCAAGGCAATTTGTTCCACTAGGGAAGTAAAGCAATAAAACAATGAATAGTAATGTCGTTTTTTGTTATTTGTTGGAGGATTTCATCCTGAGCTGACATTAGTTAGAGAACCATTTGAAAACCTGGGAGTACTGAACAACTATTTCGTCCTTGTTCGGGACTCTTCATCAGTACGCACCTACCACCAGGGTTCAAACCCACGACATTCTAGTTACGAGAAGAGCTCGTAGACTATTAAGCCACTGGGAGCCGACCCAATGGAGAGACCGTGAATTCTATCTTCTGCCGATTCATGATATAGCACGACCACTTCGCAATGTCTTCTTCGATTAGTTACTGCCTCACCTTCAACCCGCTGTACCCTACTGGTCACGGCTTCCCACTAGAACCCCGGGTCATTGCCTGAATAGGGGCAGTCGCTAGTGAGCATCACATTAATTTTCAAGTATTGGTTTTGTAGGGATTTTGTTTGTTTGATTGGTTGGAGGATTTCATCCTGAGCTGACATCAGTTAGAGAACCACTGGAAAACAAACCAGGGAGTACTGCCAGACATCTGTTTCATCTTAGTTTGGGACTCTTCGGTAGTACGCACCCATCGCCAGAGTTCAAACCCAGGACCTTCTGGTTACAAGGCGAGCTCGTAGACCTACAAAACCAATACTTTAAAATATCGATTTTCGCTAATAAGTTGCATTTATATTATGTTTTCACCAGTTAAGGTAAATCTTCAGTTACGAATTGGTCATTTCAATGAGAAGTCTATAAAATTACATGTGAATAGAAGAGGAAGGCAGGTTATACCGAGTTATTTGTAGATTTGATATACTATGATTAATTGATTACAGTCTATAAGATGATGTATAACTAAAAAGACTGACAAATTGCATGCACTTATTTATCTTTTCAGACTGTTTGAACCTATTATTATTATTATCACCATCATCGTGCGTTTGATCTTGTTCACGTCCTACATTTCTGTCTTTCTTTCTTGTTATCAAGTATAAGAGTCTGAATGGATGTATGAACCTTGTTACTGTTGTGTTTAAAAAAGCCTGCCTAGGTTTGTGTTTAAGGGTATTTTTGTGACTACACCTTAGAAACAATCAGTTATTTTGCAAATGAAACAGTATTAATAATAAAGTGGTTAGTTTAGCGTCTCTACACTATTTTGAGCAATAAACATAACAGAAAAATAAAAATAGCTGAAACCTCTAATGAGGTATAAGGTAGTGATAACATCTAACGTGAGATGATCCTGAATTTTCTCATCAGTACTTCGCCATCCTTTCTTACATTGAATATAATTATTCATTTATTTATTTTCTTCTATAGGTGTAAATGTTCCACGAAGTCGTTTCCTTCCGGTTAAAACTACTTCAGATTTATTGCTAGTTATGTCTAATTTGTATGTCCTCGAAGGCGGAACTTTATCAGTCTCACCGTTACGCAGTTTCCCGTCTGTGCCTTTAATAAAACTTGGTAGTCATTTCAAAAAAGTGAAAGATTTTTTGACCAGATTTGGAAGTATACCAGATTTACTTGAATTGGATCATTTGACTGTAACAGGCGATGTATATTTTGGCAAAGGAATTGTGTTGAAGGTAAACCAGCCTATTATTCTTTTTTTTATTATGCTTCTTACTGATGGAAGTAGTTTTAATTTTCTCTTAAAACACATTTGACTAAGAGTTATCGACACTTATGAGTGCTACTGTATGGATCAGAGACTTGGCGCGTCATGAAGAGCACCTCAAACAAACTGTCTTCGTTCAAGATCAGATGGCAGGCCAGGAAAGATCAGCAACAGGGATCTCTGGCAATGAACGAACCAACCCAGGAGGAACTGATTATGCAACAAATATGGAGGTGGATTGGCCATTCTTTGAGGAAACCATCAAGTGACATCACTAGAAAAGCCCTCGAGTGGAACCCGAAAGAGAAATGGCGAGTTGGTCATCAGTGCGAGGGTGGAGTGACATGGAGGAGGTCATGTGAAGAGGAGATGAAAGCATGTGGGCAGACTTGGAGCTAGGTAGAAACGTTGGCGGAGAACCGAACGCAATGGAGACGTGCGGCTGAAGCCCTATGTTCCTCTAGGAACGAAAGGAAATAATAATAATAATGAGATTCGTAGGCTGATGGTATAAGGCATATTATTAGGCCTTTCAAATGTATTGGATTAGGAATGAACTAGAATTTTGATTGGTTTATGCGAATAGCTTAGCAGTATGTTTTACACCGTAAGGCATTTTTGTGTCAGTATTGCATGGACTGGTTAGGTGAAAACTTCATCAATAAAAACTGACATCCAGGCAAATTCTATTCAGCTAAATAAAAAAAGGTTAACATGAAAAATCAATTCACTGTGGACAGGTCAATTTAGATATTGTGATTACGCCAGGAGGAAGTATAGGGAAGAAACAGGTGGGCGGAGTGACCAAGTGGCCTAAGGCAACACACTCTAATAAGTTATTGGCGTCAATCCTTTGTCTATATAGGGTGGTGGTAGTAGTGGAAGTGTTTTACCATAAAAGTAGAGTGTTAGATTTGTGACTGACTGACTCACTCACTCATGGAGGAGGCGATTTGCACAAAAAAAGTGCAGCACTCCAAAATTATCACACTTAGTAATAATAATCGCAGAATTCTGGAAATTGCGTTTACACACAATACAAAGAATTTTCTTATTGCAAGGTACAGAGTTACTCCCCTATTTTCATCAGAAAATTCGTAGCAGTCGGTTGAGAACTACTTTAAAACGTGTTTGAGCACAGACTACGAGTTTTCGACATAATTTTATGATTAAAACACTATGAAATGGAGTAAACACGATGCATTTAGGTGGACAGGAAATTTAGGCAGCCTAATGATTTAAGCAGACCACATAAAGGTAAAGTAGAGGAGTGTAGTGTAACTACTACAGTGCCTTAAGATTCACAGGAGGAAAGATAAGTAGATCAAGATGACTTTCAGATTGTGGAAGATGAGAAGTAATCAACACTGTGAACGACTTTGATTTAGTATTTCGAGGACTTAAAATAGGCAGTGTGTACTTTCCCAAATGGCTCAAACTAACAGCTAAAGACTTCGTACAGTGTTGTTATTTCATCGTCTAACAACGCATAACTTGTTTCCAATCTAGTCCTACTTCAGCTAACGCTGGTTATCGAGAAAACAGAAGACTGGTTATGCCTAAATTATGTCCTAGTCGTCTCAATCGATGAAGTATCCCAAAGTTATCGATTGACTTACTTCATTATTACTGAGCATACCGCTGCATTTGAGACATCGCACGGCAGGCCATCTCTCTCTCCAGTGGAACCCGAATGAGAAACGACAAGTTAAGCTTGTGACCGAGGGTGACATGGAGGAGATGCAACACTATAGGCAATCTTACGGCCAGCTATAGAGGACTGTTGAAGCCTTATGTTCCACGCGGAACCCAGAGTGTTACTCGACAGCTATCAGGTTTGTAATCAGTCAGTACCCCTACTTGATAAAGTCACCTGTGACTTTAAGGCGTTAACAGCTATATTGATTTTATTGTGGAATTTTCATTAAAAGCTTTCAAATGGTAGAAAGTATATTGTGATGCTTAAACTTATTGTAATTTAGTTCAATCTATATCCTAAAATGGATGTTTAGTTTCTTTTTCTGTTAGATTAGTCTATCAGATAACAGGGATGTTTGTTCGACAGTAAGCATTTTAGTTCACATGATTACAATCCCTTTCCCATTTCAACTTATACTAATATAAATATATATATTATGTTGTTGTATTTCAGGGGACAGTTATTATAATCGCCAATTTCGGTAGTCTTATCAGTATACCACCAGGTTCAATATTAGAAAATAAAATTGTTTCAGGAAATTTACGTATTCTGGATCACTAGTGATGATGAGTGAGCCCTGTCCCGTTCCGTCCCCCAACCCCCGAATAGCACTACACCCTGTGACAACTAGTCATATTATGCATAAATTGATGTTTTAGTCGCCATTAACAGTAACTTAATTTAATTTTTGATAATTTATTCTCAAGGATAATAGTTAATTTGTTATTAATATTATTATTATTACTACTATTTTGTTTGCTTAATATTGGTTATTTGTAATCATTTGTTTATATATTATTTATCCTCCTCATTTTGAACTTGATATATATATTTTTTTCATTTACTAAATCATGACATTGTACTCCTTAAACCCTTCCCTTTCATACTGATTCAGGCATGTAATAATATACACTTTTGTATTTCTTTCAAAATATATTTGTAGTTTGTACTATTTATTGTCTTAGTACCCGCATTATTCTTTCCAATTTCAAAATAAACAACAGAGTTCAATTACGATATTTTTTCATATCCACTGCGTTTTGTGTAGAACATTGGGCTTGAAGCTTTGAAGTAACAATAGCGGTGAAAGTGTATTGGGGTGATCAGTAGTCACTAGCCTCTCCTCCCCTTGTTTTCGGACTTACGATTGGCCAGGCGCGATCGATGAAATGCCTGTCGACCAAGAACTGAACCCTGACCTCCCACAAGCATTCAGTCACTAAACTACCAACGCACCCGAAAATCTACCGGGGGGTCGAGCCTGTGACTTTATGGTTGCAAGGCAAGAAGTGCATTGGTGATTCACACTGACTGAAACCATTGCCGTTTAGATGTAGACAGTACCAATCTGTATGAAATGCTGTGATTTCAATTTTGATTAAAATTATTGTTATTATTATTATTAGGGTTTGAAAATACTGATCGTCTTAAATTATGTAACCTTACTGAGTACAACTCTGTTTTACCACACTGTCACCTTTACAACTAAATTTACTGAAATGGCTGTCAGAAAAATTCACTCTGACCAGTGAAGTAGATAAAATTAACTGGGAAAAAAAAATAGACGATCAGAATTTATTTTATTGGAATGCTTCACACCTCATATGAATTTATACAAAAGTCAATGTAGTCCCCCATCAGAAAAATTTAGAAATCAGATAGAAAAGAAAGTAAACACACAAACAAACAAACTGAAAAGCTAATTCAATTTGGATTTTGTGATTGATTTTATTTTCGACGTTGTTGTGGTCGGAGTCGTCGTCACCGCCGTCTTCACACAGTTGACTTTAGCCATATCACCGCAAACATTTATAAGACACTGAGCTTGATTTCTTGATGTTGGCCGAAGAATAACTACTTCACTTAAATGATAAGATAGTAGGGCATTACCACCTAAGCTAGTAGTATGTGCTCCGACAACAGCTTGTACTTCAGACAGACTTGTATGCAAAAAACCAGATATACCGCCAACCTGATATCGAAATTAGAGGAAATAGAACAAAAAAGTTAACATTGAAAAATTGAAAGATTTTTGAAAATGCATATATGTACATAAGAAGCACTTGTTAGGTTACATAAAATTGAGGAAACCTTAAGGCACCTAATCTTTGAGCACGTTAGCACACTATTTAGTATTATTATCATAATTTTTCTGTGCTTTCAAGTTCCTGTAGTGGTCGGGTTGATTTTTCTGGGTAGGGTTGCTAGCTTCATATGCCCAACCTTTTTCCCCTTTTTCAAATTTGATCACAGATTGTTACCAGCCCTAGATGGTGGCTTCGCCCTGGCTTGAGACTCATCGGCACTACGCACCCACTGAGTTTCGAACCCACGACCTTCCGATTACACGGTAGGCTAGAAGACCACCACTCAGCTACTGGCACCTGACTCAATAGTCGAATTCGCTGTTTTTGCGTCACCACCAGCCAATGTTATTGGCAAGTATTTGTCCTCACTGCCGACCAGGTGGACTCTAATGGTCATAACTTCTCACTAGAACTCCCTGTTTTATTAAGCTTAGCGCCAGCTGCTATTACTAGGCAAGGTTCCCCTATTTGGTGTGCAGATTTAAATAAATAATGTTGAATACTATATAAAATAGAGGTTTGTTTGTCTGTCTGTTTTCAACATAGAACTGTGCACCGATGTGCAGCAGTTCAAGTCGCCACACTCCCTTCATGTAGCACACAAAACAAGAGAAGAAAGTAGAAGAAATGCATAATAGATGCAGTAGACAGGGATATCAGACAAAGGAATAGTAATAACGAAGAACAATATAGTTTCATCGGGTACTATAAGTCGCAAGGAGTGGATGCATTTGAGCTGGCCATTGAGAACTATTTTGAGGCATTGCCGATTGTCTCCAACCTTCATTGGTTCTTCCCATTCTAAGGACCCCCACCTTCTTACGTGACTCAAACTAACTGTAGTGGATTTCATTGACTGGTGGTTTGGTTTGACCACAATGGGCTAGCTCTTTTCCAGCCTGACCCTATGCCAGTTAACACTGCCCATTTTCGAGGAAGGCGATGACTAGGTATATCTAACACATGTCCTAACCATCTCAGTCAATGTAGCTTCACAGTCTTGTCGATTGATTTCCCCTTCTTACCTAGCACTCGACCGAAGCCTAACCTCAGGATTGCTTACCACTTCACACGGGAGGTAGAACGCAGGCACCTATGATCAAAGACAGCTAGCCAGCCAGTCCATGTCTTCCACTCTCAATGGCCAGGTCTCACAGCCAGCCATAAAGGAGGATGGAGCAGACTGTTCGATAATAAGTACATCGTTTAGTATTACCGATTCGTGTATAGGTTCCGTTTTAAGGTGAATAATTCAACACAGTCTGGTTTTACTCCAAAGTTAACCCAAATATGTGTGCATCTTATAGATAAAAATATTTTCCAAAGGTTTAGAGGGAATTCGTTTTTAGAAAATATTCAGTCTACAGTTACTCAAACGGTTATAAGACTATCCTGTTCGAATTAAGAAAAAAGCTTTTTTTATGTGATATCGAGTGGCAGGCCATCCAATGGGGAATGACCAGTTGGTTATCCGAGGATGACGTATAGTAGATCATTTAAGAATGACAGCTAAAGAGAACTACAGGCAACAGGATAACGCGGAGATGTTCCACTAGGAACCCAAGGGAATAATAATAATAGCATAGTCATAATTTTGATGTAATCCATACTGATGTAAATTAAATAAATTTAATTTAATGCATAAATAAAAGTGTGAGTTGTTGTGTGTGAGTACAACAAAGCTTACTTCTCGTAAATCTGTAGTTTCTCGAATAAAAAAGAAGTCTAAATTGCCAAGATATGCTTCAACACACATATTGGGTAGTGAAGACAATGGTGTAAGTATGCAACCAGTTATTGATTTTTTATTATGTACTTGTTGTTGCTGCTGTGTTGTTGCGATTGTCGTTCTTGTCCTTGACTTATAGGCTCATCCTTATGAGTCATTCTATCTGTGAAAGCCTAAAGTAGAAAAACAATGAGAGAGAGAGAGAAAACACACATACAACTTAAACAAGAAACAAAGAAAGAATCGATGAGAATGTCAGTAATGTTGTTTTATTTAGAAATGATGAATAGCTTTCTTTCATATATGTATGTATGCATGTGTATAACAAGCCAATTTTAATTATTGAGACAGAAAATCTAAGTCAACCCCTATAGCGAAACACTGAAACATAAATGAAACACTCTTACAGCCTCTTCATACCGACCGAGTTGGTCAATCACAGTATAAAGGATACTTTTGGATTTGTTTTGAAAGGATAAAAGATTTAAATGTTGACAATAAATTCATGATATCATTTGTTGACGACGTATCTTCCTTATTCACCAATTTGTGTACCACTTATGGAAACAGTGGACTTTGTATGCAAAGAACTCATAAGACGAAACATCGATGTTGGCATTCCTATATCTTTTCTGATGAAAGAGCTTCTTTTGAAATGCACACTGAATGTCCACTTTTTATTTAATAAAGAACTATATAGACAAATCGATGGTGTGGCAATAGGGTCACCACTAGGATCCATTCTAGCCGACATTTTCCTTACGAAACTAGAAAATGGGCCTTTGAAGGATGTTATTAATGAACTCGAATTTTATTGTCGGTACATGGATGATACATTTTTGATTCCGAAGAACGAAAAGAAAGCAAAGAACATCCTGGATAAATTTAATGAGGTACATCCTGCAATAAAGTTTACTATTGAGAAAGAAAAAGACTCTAGTATTTCATTTCTAGACGTCCTTATGACCAGAAAAGAGGACGGCACAATAAGAACAAGTGTTTATAGAAAACCTACATCAACGGGCCAGTACACACATTTTCTCAGCTTTGTGCTCTTGAAATACAAACGCAATCTAATAAAGTGCTTGGTCCACAGAGCAAGAGAGATTTGCTCGGACGTATGTCTTGACGAGGAACTTAACAATATTAAACGGTTGCTAAGTGAGAATGGTTATCCTGAAAAGTTTATTGATAAGAATCTGAATCTGAAATCAAAGCAGCCCAAGTTACCAACAGTTCCAAAAAAGGCCTTATTCTTACAGATGCAGTTCCTTGGAGACAACACCAGTGAGATACTAACACAGCGCCTTAGAAATGCGGTTAAAAGAGCATTCCCTGCTGCTGAATTAAGCTGTATCTTTAAAACCACTCCTCTTCTGCGTTCGGGAATAAAAGACAAACTGCCTAATTTCGCCTTTTCCATGTGTATATACCAATTTAACTGCTCCTGTGGAGCCAGTTACATAGGCCGTACAATTAGGCGTGTTTCTCGTCGAATTTCCGAACATCACCCTGCATAGTGGTTAAGTGAAGGACAAACAAAATCTATTTGTAGCGCTATTCTATCTCATCTTGTGGATACAGAACACAACACTGATGTTAATGAGGCCTCTTTCACAGTCATTTACTGCATAACAACAAATCTCAATTTCGCCTTAAGAGTTCGACTACTAAATATTGCTGAGGCTGTTAGGATCCACATTAAGAAGCCTAATTTGTGCATCCAAAAGAAGCTAGTTCAGACATTTTCCTTACCGTGGTCATCTAGGTTTGAATGACCCTCTATTTTTGTGGAAATCTCGCTAATTTTAGTTGATATTCTATTTGCTATTATATTTTTGTGCTTATTATTATAATTATTATAATTTAAGCATCTTTAGTGAACTGTGGTAATTCCACTGATCTTACTTTACAAATCGATATTATTTAAAAAACACACTAATATTTTTATTGACTACTATTCTAGAATATTCTATGTATATATAAACATGCATATATAATTGTAGAGCCAGAAGAGGAGGAAATTATCGCAAAGGATATTCTTTGCTCAGTAATTATTTTGTGTTTTATATCGAGATAAACAATTATCATCATTGATTTGTACTTTTTTGTTTCTTCGATTGTTTCATATGTTCTTAGAGTGCACTGAAGCAGGCTTACATTGTTGTTACTAATCTGGGTACATTAAAGAAAGACATTCACAAAATAACAAGTAGACATAACATCGCCAGTAGTAATTAGGGGAACAATACTATTTTAACTGTCATTGATTGGTGTCATAGATTGTATTACGAATTTGAGATGGACGTACTTATTTATTACTTTATGTACCGAGGGTTTCAAAGCAGGAGCTTTGAAGTTTCAGTAGCCGTGGTATTATTACTTTAATAGGAGTCAGACTGCCAACTTTAAGCCCGTTAACTTTCTTCTTTACCGGTATTACTACTACTGGTAAAGGGAGGTTGAAAAGTGTGACGGCTGGGATTTGAACCACGGATCACGTGAGCAGTTGGTCAGCACATTCTACCAATCAACCACTCGTGTACAATTCCTTTAGGCTTAAATAATATTTTCTAGTATTAGTTTTGTGGGGATTATGTTTGTTTGATTGGTGGCAGGATTTTATCACGAGCTGACATCAGTTAGAGAACCACTGGAAACCAACCAGGGAGTACTGCACAACTGTTTCATCCTAGTTTGGGTCTCTTCATCAGTACGCACCACCACGGTTCAAACCTAGGACCATCTGGTTACAAGGCGAGCTCGTAGACCATTAGGCCATGCGTCTACAAGCTCTCCTTGTAACCAGAAGGTTTTAGGTTTAAACCGTGGTGGTGAGTACTGCTGAAGAGCCCCAAACTAGGATGAAACAGCTGTCCAGTACTTCCAGCTGGTTTTCTAATGATTCTCTAACTGTTGTCAGCTCGTGATGAAATCCTCCAAGTTATTAAATAATATTTCTAGCACACAAAGCTACTTTAGTGAAGGAAACACGAAGGTGAATTGTACAGTATTCATTGTTGTAATCCTGATGTGTAGCTTCATAAACAATCGGAGTCATCTGTCAGCAGATAAAGTTCTCTGTTAATGGTGAAAATAAAGCCTCCTAGTAGAAAAAATATTGAAACAAAAATCAAAATCTCACGAAGCACACTTCGTGTGCAGAAAAGTACACACTTAATGCACTACAGATTCTAATATACAAACAGGATTAGAAATTATACAGAATGAAATTTTTAGCGTTTCTATACATATTGCAACAATTCACCTCTTTCTTCAAATATGTACATACATAGAATTCAAAGGAATAATAATAACAATAATAATAATACTAAAACCACGAAAAACTGAAGGTTGACGGAAACATAATTAATTATAATTAGATAACAAACATCTGGGGGATTTTCCGTAACACGTTGACTAGGCTGTTTAATACTACGCGAGAAGCTGAATCGATAAATACACACAAATATTCAAAAGAATGGATACTGAACAAAGAATACTCTTTTCGATAACCTGCTCTTCATCAGGCTCTACAGTTATATATCCATCCATAAAAGTAGATGAATGAATTAGTGTTATGAACAGCATTAATGTTGTTTAAATAACATCAACATAACAATAAATAATGAATATCAGAAAAATTAGGAAAGATAACAATAGTTCAAATTCATGAATTTATAGTTTCTACTGAAGGCTGGCCAGGGCAGTAGTAGTGGATGGCTGGACTTGCTTCTTATGCACACAGACCACTGTTTGTTTCACGTGAATTGCAATAGCCTCTGCTGTTTGGGGCATGCGGTACTTCGATGTTTTTGGCAATTTATTTGGCACCCGGTGGATGATAGAGAAGGATTCTCCAGTGGTGGCTGGCTTTGTGGCCGGTCTGCAGCAGATGGTCTAATATCGAACTGTTGATGGTTTTCACTACACCTTTACATAGTCATTCTCGTAGATGTTCTCGAGTGAGGACAAAAAAAACAAGCTTCTAGAGCAACGGTCGATGTAACTCACTCTACAAGGTGGTGAACTACACGTCTTATTCTCCACACGACCGATAGGGATTCCTCAATTGAAAGATGAAGTACCTAGACTACCTAGCCACTTCCAATTGTATCTACCAATTCAACTGCGCTTGTAGTGGAGCGAGTTATATCGGCCGTTGCTCTAGGAGCTTGATTTTTCGTGCTCTCTCGAGAACACCTCCAAGCGTGGCCAAGTAAAGGTCTAGGGAAAATCATCAACAGTTCGATATTAGACCATCTGGTCCAAACCGGCTGGCCACAAAGCCAGCCACCATTGAAGAATCCTTTTCTATCATCATCTACCGGGTGCCAAATAAATTGCCAAAAACATCGAAGTACCGCATGCCCCAAACAGCAGAGGCTATTGCAATTCTCGTGAAACAACCAGTGCTTTGTGTGAAAACAAAACAAGTCCAGCCATCTACTACTACTGCCCTGGCCAGCCTTCAGTGGAGACTATAAATTCGTGAATTTGTATTATTGTTATCTTTCCTAATTTTTCTGACATTCATTCAGTTTATTGTTATGCTGATGCTATTGAACTGTAATCTATTGATATTGTTATTATTGATTCGATGTTACTTAAACAACATTAATGTTGTTCACAACACTAATTCATTCATTCATTCACTATTATGGATGGATATATAACTGTAGAGCCTGATGAAGGGCAGGTTATCGAAAAGAGTATTCTTTGTTCAGTAACACACAAATATGGCAAAACTATCTAGTTTATCCTATGCTTGGCTCCTAATCATTTCTTGGCTGAGAAACACAGGTTAGCACAATGTATATGCACAATCTCATCGTCCAATTGACAAGTCGTAATGATTGGTTTAGTTTTAATATATATATTTGAAAGGTTATGCATATTAGAATAAAACCTGATGAGATCTAATTGAGAACGATGCTCTTCGCTTACGTATGTTGTTCTCTAAATTCTCCTATAAAGAATCTACAATATTTAGTTACAATTATGTTGGTGAATCTGCTCTTTGAAAA